ATGATTATCTACATAGGAAATCCAAGAATTTCTAGAAACAAACTATTAAAACTAAAGAACGTCTGGCAAAATGCCGGACACTGGAAACTTTTTCTAAAAACTTTCTTATACACCAGTGCATTACTCAGGATCTCAACGGGAAACAGTACCTTCAACTTAGGGTTTTCCTTAAAGGTTTGTATGCGAAGAGACTAATCACAAAGATGTGAGCAGCACTTAGAGGTACCATAAGGGGTGGTGCAGGAACCCGGGGCTAGCAACATAGGAGCTGTCACCACTCCTACAAGTGAAGAAGTTAAGGCTAGAGAAGTTATCAGAACACGGAAAGAGAGAGAGTCTTATGGGGTGAGCTGCCTTGAGAGAAACAATGACATTCAGTCAAGTCACAAATCTAACCTGAGGGGACCTCACAGGAAGGAAATTGGGGGCAGAAACCCACTGACCTCTCTCCTCCCTCCCTCTGACCTTTTTCTGGAATTCTGCATTTGCCCTGGATTCAGAGCGGGGGAAACAGTACTGTAATCCATTCAGGGCAGCTTCCCTGAGCTAAGAGCAAGATGGAAAGGGGCAAGGAGATGTGGAGGGACAAACAAAAGAAATGCAGCATGACCACTAAGAGACAATTAGAAAATGTACTTGGAAAAAATATTTTTAAATAACAAGGCAGAAGGATGTATAAATAAGGGGAACAGAATAGAGTCTATAAATAGGCCAGATCATATCTAGTCACCTGATTTACAAAAAGGCACCAGTATAACTCCATTTATGTTCACAAAAAATAACAAGATGTATCATAAGCCTAAATGTGAAAAATAGAATAAATCTTTTAGGAAGAAAACATCAGAGAATATCTTCATGGTCCTGGGATAAGCAAAATTTTCCTAAATAGGCCACAAAAAGAACTGACCATAGGGGCTGGCCCAGTGGTGCAGCAGTTAAAATTGCACATTCCATTTCGGCAGCCTGGCGTTTGCTGGTTCAGATCCTGGGCACAGACCTAAGCACCGCTTGGCAAGCCTTGCTGTGGCAGGCATCCCACATATAAAGTAGAGGAAGATGGGCACAGATGTTAGCTCAGGGCCAATCTTCCTCAGCAAAAAAGAGGAGGATTGGGGGCAGATGTTGGCTCAGGGCTAATCTTCCTCAAAAAAGAAAAAAGAAGAACTGGTCATAAAAAGTTTTCACAAATTGGACTTCCTTAAAGCTAAGAAATTCTGATCATTAAAATATATGACTAAGAAAGTAAAAAGCCACACACATCAGAAGAAGTTATTTGCAATATATATGTTTTTTAAAAACCTTATAATTGTGGAACATAATAAATATTATTTGGAATGACCCATGGGCCAAAGAAGGGACCATAATGAAAATTATAAAATATTTTAATTGAACAATAACAAAAATAATACATATCAAAACTTGTGGGATAAAGCTAAAGCAATATTTATGGGGGGGGGGGCGGGGAGACAGCCTTAAGTGAAAAAAAAAATAAAGAAAACAAATAGCAAAAGTTGAAAATTAATGAGCCAGGCAACACTCCACTTTCCCCATTAAGGAGTAACTGGTACTAAACTAGCTCTCCTACCATGAACAACTCTAAAACTGGAGCAAATATGTGAAACAACTGTTTTCAGATATTAGGCAAACTGGCAGTACAGGATGGTGATCCCTGAGAGAAGGGAAACAAATGAGGCAAATTCTATAGCTGCCCTGACTTTCTATCGGCAGGCATTTACTGAACCCCAGCATAGGGAGAGAGAGGGAATGCAATTAGACCATAGCAGTCTTAATGAGCTGAGAAAACAAAAACCTAAGACAACTGCAATTTGTGAAACGGAGTACAGGAGAGGAGAGAGCTACACAGAGAAAGAGCTCCAGAAATCCAATTAGCTGAACACTAAGACCCAACTGAATATATTTAGGATGAAACTCCACAGGGCTGGGCAAAGAATAACTGTTGAAGAGCTGTACGACGAATAATTTCCAGAGTTCTCACAAGGTTGGGAGATGTTTAAGTTTTGACAAGTCAGATATGAGGGACCTTGTTGAATACATAGGGCATTTAGTAGAGAATCCAGTCAGGAGACACCTTAGTAATAGGGTTAAACCAGCCTAGAACATAGGCTTAAAAGCAAGTCTTGAAATTATCAAGGTAACCCACCAATAGCTGCCTGCCCAAACAAACAAACTTCAACATTCTTTAAAGGAAAAAAACAAAATCCAGCTTGTTGATAATGTAACATTCGCAATGTCCAACATGTAATAAAAAAATTACAAGACGTGAATAAGCAGGAAAATAAGACCTATAACCAAGAGAAAAATCAATCGATAGAAACATGCTCAGAAATGATGGACATGATGGAGTTAACAGACAAAGATCTTAAACAAGCTATTGTAAATACACCCAATATGGTCAAAGATTTAAAGGAAAACATGAACATAATGAGGAAAGAATGTGAGGAAGATTTGCCCTGAGCTAACATCTGTGCCAATTTTCCTCCACTTCGCATGTGGGATGTCTCCACGGCATGGCTGGTGAGTGGAGCAGGTCCACACCCAGGATCTGAACCCACAAACCTGGGCCACCAAAGCAAAGCACATGGAACTTTAACCACTTGGCCATGAGGCTGGCCCCAAAAGGGAAAATATTTTTTAAAACTAAATGGAACTTCTAGAACTTAAAAACTCAATAAATCTGAAATGAAAATTCATAGGATAAGATTAATAGCATATTACACACTACAGAAGAAAATAACCAGTGAACTTGAAGACCTAGAAATAGAAGGTATCCTAAGTGAAGCACAGAAAGATAAAGTCAGGAAAAACTGAACAAAATCTCAATGATCTGTAGGACAATATCAAACAGTCTAATGTATGTGTAATTGGAGTCCCAAGGTGGAAAAAAAAGGGAGGGAGAGTGTGAAGAAATAAGAACCAGAATTTTTTCAAATTTAATGAAAACTATAAACCCAGAAAGCCATGAATTTCAAGAAACCCTAAGGAGGATAGACACAAAGAAAACCACAATGTGGAATTTCATAATCAAAATGTTGAAAATAATTTATAAACTCCTAAAGGTAAGTAGAGGAAAATGACCCATTACATAAACAGGAGAAAAGACAAGAATTGCCACTATAGTAACGCTATGTTGGTAGAACTACCACTGACTAAATTCCCTCAAGAATGAAGATTTTGATTACCCTGCTGAGTAAAAATAACAGACAAACAAATGACAACAACAACAGTTGAGGTGCTGGATTAAGTCAAATAGAACATGAGAGGGTTATTGGAGAACAAAAGTCAAATATACCACCAGAAAAAAAGAATTGTAACATACATCTGTATTTTCTTCCTTATTGTGCCATGGGTATTTTATATTCACTATGAAATCATCAATTTTAAGATGTTCATTTTTTTTCATAATTTTAACACCTGTGAAATGGGGCAGCATCCTACAATTAATAACACCTTGCTATTGCTGGTAACCAGGCAACATTCTTGATATAGTTACTCTTGACTGTGCATATGCCTACTTGATCATAGCTGTTCATATTATTATCACTTCAACTGAGTGATGGATATTGCTGATACTACCCATTTTAGTTTAATTGTCCTTTAACATGTCTTAGAAATATTACACTATAATTCCACATTGAAATGAAAAGTAGTATATGCAAGCAAAGTGTGGAAAGAAAGCAGTGGGGCAAATATTCTTTGTCGTACAAATAATGTGGGGGGAATTCAAATTAGGACTATAAATATGAAGAAGTTTGAGGAATATCGTAATCAATATATTTTTCTTATATTTTTACTTTTTGTGTGCACAAAAGTTATATAAAATAAAAATCTATGTCTATGTCTAAATAAATATAAAGTAGCCCTAAATTATAAGTGATGGGAAAGCATTGTGTCATCACTTAATTGGATCCTTAATGGTACACAAGATAATGGTTTGTTTTACAACTCATTCTTAGATTCAGTCAAATTCAGTAATTTAACTGCTTTAAACTAATTTTTCTGTTCTTTCTTTTTCCTCATTATTATTTAATAGTGTGCTGGTGGTGATTAATTTTACCATTTATTGCTCAGATTATAGAATTTTGAGATAGGATAGCAGTTATCAGAAGAGTGGCCATCACCCACAGATTGTAGACTTGCAACTGGATATAGTTATTGATGAGATTTAGGTTGACTCGTTTGGCAATGAGTGAATACACTGTTAGTTTTCAAAAAATAGTTGATTGTACTATAGTCGGTGGAAGCTTTATTTTGAAGTCTAAGTATTGGAAAAAGGGCTTATGTCAATGGATAGGCAGAGGGGTATATAGTAGCAGGCATTTGTTCTTTGTCTAGCATCTAAACTCCTTTCCTATGCCTATTCGGTCACCATGTCCACCTTGCCTCTAGTGGTTAAGTGCTCCCACCTGGAGTCTGCCACCTTAGCATCCTGGTAGTTCTAGTGAAATCAGGGAGCCCATTTCAACTGCAGTTTCCTCCGACTATCCCCAGCCTTACAGAGAACAGCCATGACAGTGTTTTTCAAAGATGACAGTGCTCCCCTCGCTAATGTATTTCTCAATGTCTTCAAAAAAAGATTGTCTTCAGGCCCATTCTCGGAATACAGTTAGGGGATGGAGAGAACATTGCACACAGAAATGTACTCACGTATCCCAATCTCCCTACTACTTCATAACAAAGGATTTATGACATCTTAACTGTGTTTGGCAGACCACTCTCTAGTCCAAGCTTTAGTCAATCAACCAAGTAGACAATTAGAACATTTCCAGCTATTCAAACTAGCCTAATTGAAATAAGGATCTCTGGTAAATGCGTCTGTAGAAATAACTTCAGTGCAATCTAAAATTATGTTGCTCCCTCCTTAGTCTAGCACCCTCAAGGTCTATTTCCACATGTATTCTTTAGATTTTGACAGTACAAATTAGCAAAACTTTACCCTTATTTGCCTCTCCTCTTGGGCTTGACTTGTAATTGCCTTCTAGGTATACTGGAGTCTGATGCTAGTTACACATCTCTGGACTGGGGAGAAGATGGCTTTGCGTTTGTGCCAGTTCTGGGCCTGTTTCTCATATCTGTTGCTCTCCTTCCCCGTCTCTGTTCCATATCCCAGGTAAGCTGATACCTGTAAGTTATATTTTCTGACTTCTGTGTGAGTAAGAGGTTGGAGGGCAGGAGAAAGGGAGAGGCTGGGATATTCTTTCCCCTCCTCCTCTGCTTTGGTGTCACCTCCCACAGCAGCTGCAACTCTGTCATGGTTCTAACTCCTGCAGGGCACACCTGCCATAGTTCTGGCTTCCACTGGTTGACTCGATGTCCTGACTCGAGGAATACGACCTCTTCCCCTTGTTCCTGCTGCTGCAAGAAATTTGAGATTCTTCGATCGCAGACATAAAAGGTCCTTAGATTTTAGGTGGACACTCGAACTGAGTAACTAGGATATGAGCTTGAAGTCTCTGTGCCCCACACACTGCCCTCTAGCACAGCCACTCAGTTTCTTAGAGCCTTGCTTTCAATGGGCACTTCATTCCAGGTGACTAGAAGTTTCCACTTAATTGACTGTTTCACCATTGTATGTCTGACCTGTCAGAGTCCCATTGCTTAAAGCTGGGTTTTCACTGCCCTTGATTCCAAAAGACCAAAATAACCAATCCTCAGATTTCTCCTCTTTTCCTGAGGGTCTGTTGTCAACAACCATTCCTTGCACACTCTGCATCTGTCATGGTTTAATTATATGCCACAGAAACTGACTCTGGCTGATCAAAGCAGAAAAGGAACTTATGAAAAGGATTTGGGGCACCTCACGGACTCTTCAGGGGGAATTGAGAACCAGACCCATGGCCACACATTCAAGAACAACACCCAAATCATGCTATGCAACTTATCCAGTGAGGACGCCACTTGTGCTGCTGCTGGGGCTAGCTTGCACTGCTAATCCAGCAGAAATTAGATGCTGGAGCCGCTGCTAGACGAGAAACTAGATATAGCTCCCTGCTGCCCCCTTTACCCCATTACCAAAAAGGGATTCTGCTTGGTCCCTACTTTTTAATGTCACTGTCCTATGATTCAAAGTCAGAGTTATCTAGTTGGTAAATATTAGTCCATGGGTCTACAATACACTTCAAGAGAAGTTGAGAAAGGAAGCCTCTGGAATTTTTTGTCTTCTCTAGTGAGAAGCAGGCTCTACTTCCCTCCAGGTGGGTGAACCCTCTCCCCTGAAAAGAAACATAGAAAGAGGCTCAGATGCCTGATAGCCAAAAAGATGATAAATATCCACTACCCCGTACGAAGCATATTGAGCTCATAACACGCCTGGAACTGTGTGGGTAGGGGAGAATGCTTCTCGCCCACACTTGATGTTTTCTTCCATGGGGAGGAACCACCGTTAGTACAACCCTCCTGCCTTACCTTGACCCCTTCACACCTTCTTGAGGAGGAAGTAGGACTTACGATATTAGTAAGTTGGGGAGAGAATATGGGGATGTGGAGCTCTGTGCCTTTCTCTTTCCTTTCCCTTTGGCACTACACATTTTAATCTGCCTCTTCACCCACCAAGTTTTGTAGGAGCAGACCTCACACACATGGGGAAATTTGCAAATTCCCTGCACTGTCCACAACTGGACAGATAAAACTAATTTAAGTTTCGCTATTAGGAAGCCCACATGTCTGCAGCTCTAAGACATGGTTTCCAATATCTGATTTACAGTCGTAAAGGTGAGAGTTTGTTCTTTTGCATATTTCTCAATTGGCTCATGTGTCAGGGATGGAAAAGGAGTCCCCTCAACCCTGTAATATTTATTAGTGTTATGTAGCTAAATATGACATAGTCTCTGCCCGTGGAGGGCTCTCAGTCTAGTGGGAGAGGGATACATAACAGATCATTAATGTACAGTATGACGCTTGGGGCCATGTCCAACTGCATCACTCCCTTGGACATAATCCAGAGCGTTTAGATGAAGAGTGCAAAACTATATACTTTACTCTTGTGATGATTTCCCATCTGGCTTTTACTTGTTTAAAAGTGAGAAGAGCGGAATTTGAAGTCAGGTGGAAAGGAAGGAAATCCTAGGATGGGACTCAGTTGCCCTTAGTTAAGGTAACCAGCAGACTAACTTGCTTCACTCTAATTCACCAAGTAGGAGCTGGGGGCCAGCATTTGATGGGAAACTCTGGGATTCCTGCCCCTGTGTCTTTCCTTTCCCCAGTCGTTCTGGATCTCAGAGACTTACAGACTGCCTGAGCTAGAAAGTTCCTCTGAGTTCATTTAGTCAAACACCTTCCTATTCAGATGGGGAAACAGAGACCCAGAGAAAAGAAAGGTATTTTCCAGGGCCAAGCAGAGAGCAAGTGGCAGAGCTGGGATCAGAACCAGGGTCCTGGTCGGGTCAGGTGGGGATGGAGTGTTGGCGGCAACAAGCAGCCTCCACTCTCGACCGTGGAAGTGAAGTGGAGCCCTCAGAGCGTAGAAGACCCCTCCCTCCACCCTCTTGGCCCATGGCACCACACACACATTCCGAAGACAGAGGTCTCATCATCTCCTCCTGGGGATGTGATGTGAGGAGTTTATAGCCAGAAGCTGAAGTCAGATAATTCTCATGTTGTGGTCTGGTCAAGGCTGCCCAGAGAACTGTTCTGGGAAGAAAGAGAACTGAGAAACCAGCTGTGCAAATAAAATTAATGAAATGAAATAATAAAATATTTGATCAGGGGGCCACCTTCTCGAGGGGGCTTTCTCCTTTCTCTCTCCACTCATCCATCTCTCCTGCCTCCATTCTCAGCCGATCCTTTCTCCCTACACTTTCTCTTGATCCCCTGTGTCCCTCACCTCCTATTCCTCCACTTGCTCCTGTCCTCCTGGAGGACGGCTTCTAACAAACCAAATGACTGCCTTCTCTATAAGTTCTTAGCTGGTCAGCAAACATCATCTTTAAGCAAACAAATTTTCAGCGACTTCATTGCATAACCATATGCATTGGTTATGCATCACCAGAATTCTAAACAAAAGGAAGAAACATTTGAGCCACAGCTCCACGAGCACCAAATCAAATGGCTTTTGCTTGCCTGAGTTCACTTCAGTCCTTGTCCCAACACTAAACATTTTTCATATAACTACCATCTCTTATACCTTCCTATGTGCCAGGCATCCTGAGAAGCACTTTAAACAATATAAGCCCAGAAATGTTTTATTTCCCAGAATCTCTTTTTATGGCTACCCATTAAATTCCTTTTAATAGTAAAAATAACTCACTTTTGTTGAGAACATACTATGTGCCAGACTCTATGCTCTCTTTTCTTCCTCATGATCCAGTTTTTGTATGCTTTCCCCCAAGCCCTGCCTCCCCCCATTCTTCAGATGGAGAACTGTGGCCCAAGAAAGTCCAGTGGCCTGTCCAAGATCCCCAAGGTAGTTAGTTTCTGCTTCTATAAAAGGAGAGAATGTCCTAATTATTACTTCCTCATTTGGGTTTCCAGGGGACATTGGGGTGTGACTGCGAATTCCCAGATAGCCCTGAGTAAAGGCTGCCCTTGTTTCCTGTTATGCCAAACATCACAAGGACAGCAGGAGGAGTTCAAACAAGGTCTACAGGATGAGGAGATATTTTCATTGACACACAATGGAACAAATGGGAATCCAGCCGGGCAGCTGGGTGGAACTGTCTGTCTGTCATCCTGCAGCAATGGCAGCAGGCCTTCTGGGGAAGCGAAAGAGGCCGGGCCAAGAGTAGCCTGGACAACGCTACTGTCTTCATTGAGGTTCTTTTTGTGTTCAGGAACAGAAATCAACTCAGACTCCCCCGAGCACAATTTGTGGGGAGGAGGTGGGGGTATCTCATGGAACCCTAAGCCAGCTGGGCCTAGAGAAGGACTGAAGCCAGTGAGTGGAGCTGTCAGAGACCTGCCACTAGTTCCTCTCTCTCTCCCATCTCTGCTTCAACTTTCCCCTCTCTCCTAAACAGCCATCTTTGCTTCTGCATTCTCATGGCTGATGATGGCCGCCCCATCCCAAGGGAACACCAGGATGAACTAAAACCAAAGGCCACCTTTGGAGGGTGCAGAAGCTCCGCCCTTCCATGCTCTAGTCATGTTTACCGCCTCTCATCCACTCCCACTGCCACATCTGCTCGAGGTCCCCCCTCCCTGCTGGCTTTGACGCTCTCCCTCCCGCCCACCAGGGATCCACCGCGGGAGCTCAGGAGGTAGGAGAAGCCAGCATCTTCCTTCCTTGGGGACTTCTGAGAAATCCCTCTCCATATGGTTTGCCATCTGGGTTGTGAGCTTGCTGGGATGCTCTGCTTGGGGATGAATGGGTTTCTCCACAGTTCTGGGGAGAGAAGCAAAGTGTTCTCTTGCTCGGGGGAGCAGCAAGGCGGCTACTCCATCCCCGAAGAGGGCCTGCAGGTGAGGCTCTAAGGAGCCATTGGTCCTGGTTTCTCAGTATCCCTTTTCCTTTTGGCCTGCAGATCTCATTGTTTAGACAGTCTCCTTTTCAGACCATGTGTACAGGCCTGTTAAAAGTTCACTCTCTTCCCTCTTTCATGCCACAGCTGTTCTGAGCTGGGTACGGGGTACAGAGGCAAAGGAGACAGTCCCTGCCCTCAAGAAGCTCATGGTAGCTGGAGGTGACAAACCCATGGGAAGAGGAGTGACCTAGATGTCTTCTTGTTTATTCTATCAACAGTCCACACATCCCTTCAATGCAGGTGCACCAACAGTCTGAACCCTCAGTCTGTAAGACTTCAGGAAACCCTCTCTCTTCCCAGGCTCCCTTCCCAAGGATCTCTGAGAATTCTTACACCTTCCACCTATTCACTGTGGCTGTCGCTTGTCACCTCTGTCTGCCCCACTGGGCCCCTGGTCGGGACCCAGGCAAGGCCTGCCCTCCCCGGGCTCCTGTTTCCCACACAACTTTGCCTAACACAGACATGTTCGCAGAGAACCCTAAGCTTCCATCTTTCCTCTTAACTCTCTCCATGGGTGATCTCATCCGGTCTCATGGCATTTTTTTGCTCTTCTTCTTATTTATTTATTTATTTATTTATTTATTTATTTTGCTGAGGAAGATTCACCCTGAGCTAACATCTGTACCAATCTTCCTCTATTTTATATGTGGGT